ACATAAATTGTTTTCAATTTATTCTTATTTTACAAACATGGCTACGATTTACATGCTTAAAAATTTTGGTGGAATTACTTTTAATTAGTTGACACTATTATTAGAGATTGTTGATTTAAATTTAAAAAATTTTTAACATGGAAATGCTATTCACTAGAAAAATATTTTGGCCTCAGATTTGTTAGCTGACGCTGATCCCACCATCAATCTTAAAAGGGCAATTAGCTATAATGGGTGGACATTTTGATTGGTATTATTGCTTCTAATGTAAATATATCATTTGCATGTCTTTTTGGTTCAAAAGAAAAAGTAGATGCTCCACATAGGTTGTTGATAAACCTTATTTTTCATCTATATATTAGTTGCTGGTTGGAAGGAGCTATGCTCCTGATTTATACTACTATCTGTAAAAATTTTTGTTGTAGAATTCTTGGGAGATCCTAGTTACAGGGGAGGTTTTGCCGAAATTTCTACAAAAACGTTAACACTTTCTTATGATAATGAGTTTAAAGAAGTTATTTTAGCTCTCATGTAATTTGATCAAATTTTATTTTATTCTTTTGTAAAATGGAATAAATATTCATTTGGAGGCTTATGAGAATGTGAGAGTGGTTCACACATGTGCCAGTCACCCTCTATTTTTGGGGCATGACATAAATATTCCATTTCGATCACTAATTTTCATCTTAATAATAATTCTAAGGCTAAGTGTATAATCTACTACCATTCTCAAGTCAATAAAACATCAAACATTAACAATTTTTGACACCCCACAATATCAAAATGGGCAACAATGAGGAGAAATTTAAACAACAAAAATTAACTAATAAAACAATCCATAACATTAAATAAATCAATCCCATAATCTAAAAATCTAAGGATATTGGAAGAAAATGAAGAAAAACCATAGAAATTACACGCATGTATCATGGAGAAGAGAGGATGAAATACAAAGAGGAAGCGAATGAGAGGGGCAACAGACGGCGTAAGTGGCAGTACTTTCACATAAGAGAGGACTAAGGTGGTTAACGGCAACAATGGAGGAAGATTGAGAGATTTTTATCGATTTTGTTTGTAAGTGGAGAAGAGAGAATACTGAGAAGACAAATAGGCGGGAATGAAAAAACAGACCAAAAACTAAATAAAAAAGGAAATAAATGACAAATATTCTAACACCCGTCATTTATTCATAAATATATGATGGGTGTTGAAAACACCCGTCATATATCTTGAGAACTTTAAATGACGGTTGTTTGAAAAAACCATCATTTAAAGTTCAAATTTTTTTATTTTTTTGTTCTTTTAAGAAATTGAAACGGTGGCCAACAATATATGACCGGTGTTTTAAAAACCCATCATATATTGTTCAGACTTTAAATGACGGGTGTTTAAAACACCCATCATTTAAAGTTTTAAAATTTTTTATTTTTTTTATTATAAGAAACTGAAACGGTGGGCCACAATATATGATGGTTGTTTGGATACCCATTATATATTGTTTATACTTTAAATGATGGGTATTTGAAATACTAGCCATTTAAAGTCTAATTTTATTTTTTTCCTTCCAGTAAATGAAACATTAGGCTGAAATCAATGACGGATTTTTTAAATACTCGTCATTTAAAGTCCAACAATAAATGATGGGTATTTAAATACCTGTCATTTATTTTCTGACCATCACCCGCCTCTCTCATATATGACGTGTTTTTATTTGACTGTCATTTTTCATGATGTCTTATACTTACGTTTTTGTAGTAGTGTTTTGTCACTTTAATGAATCTTGATATTCACACAACTAACAAATACCTCTTCTCTTGATTTTATAATAATCAAAACATGTGATTCAACAATATTTGAAAAATGATATTTTGTTCTAACAATAATTCAATTCCATGCATGTTTGAGAATAAATATTTTGATGGGATAAAATATAAAACACTGATTGCTAATAGTTGTCTTGTTAGCCCTTGACATATTATGATTAAATCCTAACTAGCTTGATGTGCATGAACATCATCTTCACGCTTGTTATTCATAAACTTAGTACTCGAGCTTATTATTCATGGGTTTCATGCTTGCGCTTGTTTCATGGCTTCTAGTTATGCTTAATCATTTCGTGCCTTTAAGTTATGTTTGTTGGATACTTACCCTTATGGACTGTATATTCACACTTGTTGACTACTTATCCTCATGAATTTTGTATCCATGTTTGTTAAATAATCGTTTTGATTAAGTCTTGCTGAAAAGATATTTGTCAAATGAGCTATATTTTTTTTATGTATGGATTTTAAAATGAGTTACATATTTTTTCTTTATTGTTTAACACATATATTGTAGTTTAAAGGTGCAATTTGAATACTATATAATCACTATTTGGGTTTATATATATATATATATATATGATTGTATATTGCACAAAAATATGTGGCTGATAGGGTATGAGATTTTAATTTGTTTTCAAATATATATGCCTCTAAATTCATGAGTATATGTTCTCTTTATTTTCTTAAATTTTAAATTGAGACGTTATTCACTATAAAATATTTTTTGTCTCAGAGACATTAGTTGACGCTAAACCTTCTGTTGACTATTGAAGGGCTTATTATTGAGTTGGGTGGAGATTTGTTTTGAAAATCTCTTGTTTTGAATTAATTCTAAAAAATTATGTATTATGCTTTGAAAATATGATTAAGTGCTTTACATATACTATAATTAAGGTTCTTATTTTTGTTGTACACTTTATTTGTTAGCTGGAAGGAGCATAGCTCCTGGTTATTATGATTTTTATCTTAAAGTTATATTATAGACTTTTTGGGAGTTCTAATTTATAGGGAAAGTTTTGTCAAGATTTTTACAAAAACATTAAGGATTCATTTAAATGAAAATTATTAAGGACATCCTAATTCTAATACAATTATAATCATTTTTTTAGAAATAGAATAGCTTCTTAATCTCAAACTTAAGTGATGTGTCTTTTGGTTTACATCATGTGCTGGTCACTTTTTTTTCTTTTTTTTTTGGGTGTGACAAATGCACCTTAGCCCTAGTGGAAAGTATAATTATCAAAATGTTACATATCAGTATATCACTGTCAATATAAAAGAGTTAAAGATCAATCATTTTATCTACTAAACTTTTTATTCTTTGAGGAACACTATACTAAAAGGTGCAGTAATATCCCCCTAAATATATTTTTTTATTTGATAAAATCAAGATACATGGATTTTAATGTATTAATAGATTAATGATTTTTATAAAATAAATAATATATAAAAAATTTATATGTCTTAATTTAATTAAAAATAAATATTTTAATTATAAAAGACTAAATCTATAAGACTAAATCTATAAGTCTTCCCTTTTACTATGTATCACTCTCAGTTTAAAATGGGCCAACAAATTCCATGATTTTAGCTATTTGACTTTCTTCATAATTCAAATACATGGATGGAGAAATTCTTATATGAATCTGGTGCATTATATCATCCCTATTCTATCTTATAAAATTATATAATTTTAATCAAATAAAATCTCAAATGTCACTATTTTTAATGATTTTATTTTTATAATAAAGTGCTTATTTATTTTCTTATCTTTTCTCTTTCTATTATTATCAATAATAATTAAAATCAATTTATATTTATAAGCATATGACATTATAAAGCACTGGGTTCATGAAAGAATTTCTGGAATCAATGTAAGTCTAACTTTTTAGGTAACTAAGAAAATAATTACCCTTCAAATCAGGTGAGATTTTTCTTCATTAATTACGCGTAGTAGAATAAGCTCCTGGCTACTTTTCGTTGCCTAACTTTGTCCGTCGTTTTGTTTGGTTTGATTGTCGCACAATCTCGTCAAAAACTCAAATCATATGAACACCAGACTATGCCTTAGTGCCTACCGACAATCTTACTTTCATCTCTACTTTTTAAAATAGAAAACTAAATTAGTTGAAGATGAGTAAAAGAAACTATATAGATTATAAATATATATATTTTTTCCACAAAGATATAATTCAAATGGTAGGTTAGTGCATATTAGGATCCAGTTAAGCACTAATCCTTCATCTAGACAATCCAAATTTGATAAATTTTATTTCTGTATTTTTAAAAATCATTCTTTTAATGTATAAAGAATTTAAAACACAGACAATTTATTCTAATAAAAAATAATTTTTCCTGTGAAAAGTTAATTATAGTTTTAAAATTTTAAATCTAAATTGTTAAAATAAGTTTTGGATGGTTTAGATTTCACCACATTGATGAATAGTGATAAGCATGGAAACTAAACGCTTCATCCTATTCTTTTTATAAGGTATTTGAGATATTTTTCATGTATGTAGTTTAAAAATAGTTATTATACTACCTTATTCATTAAAAATATCTCAAATTTTTTAATTGTAATCTTATTAATTAAATGGATATAAATATTATTATAAAAAATGTAGACAACGAAAACATGAGACATATTTTTTGTTATTTGTGCAATGCTATCATGCTTTCTCAAATTCTAATAAGAGTAACATTTAAATTGAAAGGCAAAAAATTAGACACGTTATATAATTAATATAACTTTTTATTTTTGCAAAGAACCTTATGAAACAGATCGGACAATGTTTTTTTAAAAAAAAAAACATAGTGCTAACTTAATTTCTAAATCCATATTTTTTTTAAGTTACTTATAGACAGAGACAATTATATTTAAAATATTCTTAAATATTAAACATGAATTTTTTTAATAAAACTTTAAATCTTAATTCATTATATCATGAGTGATTACACCTATTTTGCTAAATTCAACCTTTGATTTTCTAAACTCATATGGTACTTGAAGGGGAACCCAATAATAGTGGCCGATGTAATTATGCCCCACCAAGCCACCAATACAAAAATACTAATCTTATTCCACCACTCTATCCACCACAAACCATTCACTTCACTGGGCCCCACCATTGCGTTCTCTTTTTCAAAAGATAACTACTAAATAAATTAAACCCTCTCACGCTCGGTCTTCAAATCCTTCAAAACACACACACACACAACACAACACATCGATATCCATGGCCTCTTCATCCCAGACAGAGCTTCCTCTTAACGAGGACGACTCTCAAGACATGGTGATCTACCAAGTCCTCACTGAAGCCGACGCTCTTCCACGTCATCATCACCTTTCTGCACCAGTTATTGGCCTCCATCAGCCCATCAGCAGGACCGTCGCTGCCGTCGCCAAGAAGCACTACCGTGGTGTGAGGCGGCGGCCATGGGGCAAGTTCGCCGCTGAGATCCGAGACTCGGCTCGCCATGGGGCTCGCGTGTGGCTGGGGACGTTTGAGACTGCCGAAGAGGCTGCCTTGGCTTATGACAGAGCTGCTTTCAGAATGAGAGGTTCTAAGGCTCTCCTTAATTTCCCTCCTGACGTTGTAGCTCCTTCCTCTTCTTCTTCATCATCATCTTCTTCCTCTTCTCTTTTCTGCCCAGAGAAATTGAACAACAAGAGTTCTGATGATTCTGATTCAAAAGCTGTCTGATTCAAAAGCTGTAGTTAGCTCATGCGTGAGTTATGTTGATAGTCATGGTTGATTCCTGATATATGGATCTAGTCATCTAACTATAGATGTAGGTAATTTAATTTGGATTTGAATTTGTATGTGTGTGGGGAAGAAATAAAGAGATCTAGAAAGAGTGAGAATGTTATGCATCAGATTTATCATCTCAAATTTGATTTATTTGTTGTGTACAAAATAAAATTAATTAGGTGTGTGTTTCGCAATTAATGGTAATGTAATTGATTGCATTTATTTATCTAGATATGTAATTTGAAATAATTGGTTATATTGTCTATGATAAGAAAAAAATGAGACTTTTTTGTTCATCAATTGTATCTTAATAAAATTGGATTGTGAACATGTGGCTGTAGAGTGATATTTGTTCAACTGATGATCAACTGTACAACAGAAGAGTATATAATAAGCACATCTAATGGATCAAAGGATATTATTATTATTATTAGAGCTAATCAAAACATGTGAAGCCCACTTAATTTATGAGATAATAGTGATAAAGCCAGTGTGTGGAGTCATGAAGGGTGATTAATTATGAGCCATTAAGCTTAACATTTCAGATCATTCTAATGTTGCTATTATTCAAAGTGAATAGATTATCTCCTGTTGTTGAAACAACACTTGCATGCTACCACCCTTTCATCAGCAAAATGCAAATCTAAATTAAATTTATGATTTTTTTTAAATATTTTGTACAATTTCAGATTTAATTATTTATAAAATTTCTGAAAAGTCAAATTATGTACGAAAACCAGACAGGCTATTAATTAGATTGATTGAGGTATCTATTCACTGTTCAATGATATGTTGGTCAAATCCTAGGTAAACTAATCATAAATAAATTAATATATTTTAAATAGTATATACTGAATAAGAAAAATGAAATGAATATTTAAGTGGGGAAAAACCACGATATCTATCGATACTGGATACTTAATTGCCGTCCAAATTATATATTTACTTATCTCATAATTTATAATTTTAAAATAAATACATATTACTTAACTATATGTTAATTTTTATTTATTATTTTTTCAAATACTTACTAACATATATGCATAGATCATAGCTTATAATATGAATTAAAATTTTTAAAAATAAACATAAATATTTGACTGGGTCAACCATTTGGAACATCGGTTTTATCGTTCCGATTGATTCATCACCAATTCTCTGACCCTTTGGTTTCCTAACAATTTCGAACTGTACATGTGACCAGTTCCCAACCCAACTAGTTGAGCCAACTTATTTGATCCAATTCTGTAAAATATAAAATAAGAACAACTTCTCTACAACCTCCTTTTTTTTATTTTTTGAAAAATAATGCTTGCAAGTAAAGATAAAAATGTGACAATCCAAATCTAATACCAAAGATAGCATAGATCCCGAGTTCATTATACCTTATTAGAATCCAACCAAGTGGCTTATATTATGCATCCATGTAATTATATATAAACATAGTTCATCTTCTTACACTTGGAGTAGTATTTACAAAGTTTAAAATAAATTTATGATTCATGTTGGTTCGAAGGATGGTAAGGTGACCAAATATATCGCTTTGGTATGATAATTGGTCTCCTTCCAAAACTATTAGTGATGTAGACTGCCAATGTTGATGTCATTCTTCATATTATGGGTGGTTGGAATTCAAGTAAAATGAGTTGTTACCTTCACTCTGATGTTATCAATTTTATTTCCCTGCTGGTCCAACCCCCTAGCCAATTCTCATGGAGAAAATGATGCTTTATGCTGAAGGTCTTCTAGTGATGAAAACTTTTTCATTAAATCCGCTTATATAGTGATTAGATCAAAATCATCAAAATAAGGGCAATTTGGAATTATCGGCTAGAATATGGAAATCCTCTGCGAGAAAATCAAATCATTCCTTTGAAAATCTACGTGGAATTTGTCTCAAAACTAAATTTGTCAGCATCAAAGAATTTGGTATTGACCAAAGGACATGTCTTCTTGGGTATGACGTTATTATGAATTCATCTGTTCACATCTTGTGTGATTGCAGAAGAGCAAGGGAAGTTTGGATAACATTAGCAAAGCATTCTAAGTTAACTATTTATAGGATTGGATTTTTTGGAATGTAAAAAATGACACAATAAATTCGGCAAAACAAGCTAAGGAGATCAATTATACGATAGAAACTATTTGCTCATGTCTACAAGAATATCTAGAAAGCAAGATGCACAAATCTCCGCTTAGATCGAGGAGGAAATTAAAACGCTAACAAAGACATTTTTATCAGCACCCTGAAACATAATCAACGTCATACTTCAATTGAAGATGAACTCTTTGATCTTAAGCCTAGAAAGATTGCAAATCAAATGGTGTCTTTCTGAAGTAGGTTGTGTTATGTTAGAGTAGATATAGATTGTTCGGCCAACAATAATGGTGTAGTAACTTGTGAAGGTCTTATTTAAGATGAAAAAGGAAATTGGGTTTTTGAATCCTTTTTTGTTTTTAGTTTTTTCAAACTTAGGTTACCACCCTAATAGGGCGACTAAATTCTTGGAGATTTTTTAATGTGTCACCTTTTGTTGGAACTATAAGCTCTTTAAAGCCAACGTTTATTGTGATTCCCTAGAGGCTATTGCTCTCTCACCCATAACAAACTTTCTCATAACCATCCTCTTTTGAGTACTATCAAGAATATTGGAGACTTGGTTATATAGAATTGGATACTCACTTTCAATCATGTTTTTCAAGAAAGAAAATAAATGTGCAAACTCACTCGCCATTGGGCTTCTCATGAGACTTAGTTATCAATATCTTTGATGATGCACCTTTAAGGTGCAAAAATTTATTATGCTATCATATGACTTAACTATTTACGGCACAGTTTGTCATGGCTTTTTAATGATAAAATAAACACAATCAATCAATACTTGAATATTGTTACGAAATTGTGAAAAAAGTTATCATTGAGAATTGGTTAATGAACTCAGAGTTAAAAGCTGAAAAGACAAAGAGGTTATTGGTTCATTCAGTTGTTCAACTGTTTTTTTTTATTTTTCTACATTTTTTTAAAATAAAAATTATTCATAAATTTTTTAGAAACATCAAAATAAGAAATTGACTAAAGGATTTGATTAAAAAAATTAAAATTTTCTAAATCATGACTTATAATAGGTTATATGTATTTACGCTTTAAAGTTTAGCTGACTAATTTGTATGATTGAGAAAAATAATTCGACTATCGGTTTCACAAAGAATCATTAAAGAGAGTGCTGTACAGGTCGTAGCTCTAGAGAAATTTGGCTTCATCTTCATCATATTGGCTAATGAATATTCAAAAAGCCAATTCAAAACCCATTTGCTAAGGGTGCATTAAAAAAAATTAATTTTTTGCTTCACTATGACGATAATTATTATTTTTATAAAGTCAATCTTCAATTAATGTATACAAATGAAATGATCCATTGTATTTTATATAAAACGTTATATTAATTGACCGCAACTTATTAACCACAACTTTTATATTGATGGAAATTCTTTATGTCATTATCACTTGGAGCACGTGTTTTGACTTCCATAATCCAAGATTAAAAGCAATGATGTTGACACTATTAAATATTATGGATTTGGTATGCTGCAAAATTTTAGTATTCTTCTTGGCAACAGTGAGCTTTTCCAAAGCTAATCAATTATGCTTCTAGAATTCACATTTTATTATTTTGGCCAATTTTTTTTTTATTTTTGTAGTTTTGTTTCCCCATTATATACTAGAAAATAAATGAAGTTTACAAGTTAAGAAATATATAAACCCGAGGGGCTTGTATCATTTTCATTCATATTCATCATTGACGAATAAGTTAAAGGGGTGTTCGTAATCAAGCATGGATCTCCGGAAAATCTTTGAACAATTCGATAAAATATATATAAAAAGAAATTCATCACAAAAAACAAAAAACAAAAATCAAGGTTGTGATTTTTAGACTACAATATTTTTTTTCTTAAATATTTATAATTGTTCAAGTTTATGGCCGATATATTGGAGATTTGTGTGCATATATAAATATATGCTTGCTAATTAAAAAAATAAAGGATATAGATCAAATATACATTTCTTACAAATATCTAAGAATAAATTATAGCGAATCATTTTCAAATATTTTGGACACAAGATAATTTTAAATTTTGAAATTTTAAAAAATGACATTTTCTGATATTAGAGAAAAAAACACGTTGGAAAATTTTATTTTCGAATGTAGTGGGAAAAAAAATTCAAAGGGTATAATTTGCTGAGAGAGATATATAATAAGGCACATGTTATCACATGATCCCACATGCACAAATAAATCATGTCACAAGTCATAACACCTCCACAGACACACATGTTAACACATCGAACTTCAAAAATATAAAATATAGACTCATGATATAATAAAATTTGCTCCCATTATATGTTGCCATATGCTATAATGCGTGCCACTGTGCCAGCATGAACAACAAATAACAAATGTAAAAAAAGAGACACACATATGGAGTTTGGAAAAAAAATTTAAAAAAATTGTATGAGGTTCAAACATAAATTAGATCATTCATTACATATATGAATAATATGGCTTTTCAAAAAAAAAATATTGTATAATAATCTTGTTACTAATATCATACTATAGAATAATGCAAAACTTATAATATATAAATGATATCCAATTCTAACTTTTGGAAAACAAAAATAGAAGGGAGAATGGCAATAAGGGCCCTAAAAAGCAAGAATTTTGCAGATAAGGCCTAATAAATTCTAAAATTATTCTGAGGATAGGTCTCATTTGCAATTATGTTTTTTTGGTGAAACGACTAATTTGTCCCTCCCATAACCAGCTGCTTCTTCCTCCATCCTTCCTCCCTCGTCCTTCTCTCTCTTCCTCTTTAGACACTTGTACGATAACCAAATTTATTTTCCTTCCCATTATACTTCTCTATTCCCTCTCTTCTTCTTCCTCCTTCTTCCTTCTTTCTCTCATTTGAAGCTTTTTCATTCAATAGGTATAAGTGGACGATTCACTTTTATCCAGATAGATATGGAAAAAATGATCAAACGTTCATTTGATTACATTCCTCTCACACCAACCAACTTCTTGAAATGATTCGCCATAGTGTAGAAAGAATGGATCAAGTGCTGCATCCGCCATTATCAGTTTTATTTCGTCAAAAAAGAATATAGAGAGAATTTGAGCTATATTAGTTTTATCTAATCATAATGTACGCGTTCACATTCATTTAATGAAAACAAGTTGTTATTTATGGACTTTTTATTGTTTTTAATAGATACTTTTTTGCAACTGATATAAATATTCTGGTGTAGATATTGTTTATGAAATTTATGTTGTTATTTATGAAGTTTACATTATGCAAACTTTACAATTAACTTATGCGGATATTTATATGTATCATATCAATGAAACTTGTATTGTAAATATATGAACATTGTGTTATTAGCAAATAGATACTTTCATCTTATATACGGACCTTTTGTTCTTCATTAATTGGAGAAACTTTTTTAAATGTTTAGTTTAATTAAACAAATCATGTGAAATAGATGGACATTGTGTTGTTAATAAATGAACTTTGTCATGTTATATATAGACTTTTTATTATTAATAAACTTGAGAAACTTTTTGTTAAATCTAGCCAACTGATAAATTGGACACACATGGACTTTTAATTTAGAATATATGAAGATTGTGTTGTGCATGGTGGATATTGTGTTGTGCATTGTTTGCTTACTTGCATATTTTGTCAAGCCTAACCTACTGATAAAGTAGAATCTTATGAACTTTTAGTTGAGAATAAATGAACCTTATATTGTGCATAATGGATATTGTGTTATGCATTGTTTGCCTATTTGTGCATTTCGTTAAGCATAACCTACTGATAAAGTAGAATCGTATAGACTTTTAGTTGAGAATATATGAACCTTAAGTTATGCATCGTGGATATTGTGTTGTGCATTGTTTGCTTACTTCTACATTTTGTCAAGCCTAGCCTACTGATAAAGTAGAATCTTATAGACTTTTAGTTGAAAATAAATAAACCTTATATTGTGCATAGTAGATATTGTGTTATGCATTATTTGTCTATTTGTGTATCTTGTTAAGCCTAACCTACTGATAAAGTAGAATTGTATAGAATTTTAGTTGAGAATATATGAACCTTATATTATGCATAGTGGATATTATGTTGTGCATTATTTACTTACCTTTGCATTTTGTCAAGCCTAACCTACTGATAAAATAGAATCGTATGAACTTTTAGTTGAGAATAAATGAACCTTATGTTGTGCATAGTAGATATTATGTTGTTCATTGTTTGCTTACTTGTGTATTTTGTCAAGCCTAGCTTATTGATAAAGCAGAATCTTATAGACTTTTAGTTGAAATAAAAGAACCTTGTATTGTGCATAGTAGATATTGTGTTATGCATTGTTTGCCTATTTGTGCATTTTGTTAAGCCTAACTTACTGATAAAGTAGAATCTTATGAACTTTTAGTTGAGAATATATGAATCTTATGTTGTGCATAGTAGATATGAGTTGTGCATTGTTTGCTTACTAGTGTATTTTGTCAAGCCTAGCCTACTGATAAAATAGAATCTTATAGACTTTTAGTTGAGAATAAATGGACCTTATATTTTGCATAATGAATAATGTGTTATGCATTATTTGCCTAACTTCAGTATTTTGTTAAGCCTAGTATAATGATAAATTGAAATCACATGGACTTTTAGGTGAGAATATATCATAAACTTTTTTTTCTTACAATTGTCTTTAACTAGCTATCCTCCTGAGAGTTCACGAATAAGGAGGATAGAATCTTCCAAGATAATAAAATTTATCATTGTTCAAGATGTGAAAAGACCGGATACAATCACAAGACATGCAAAAATCCTAACCCAGCATGAGAAGTGGTTACATTGTACTTCTTTGGTGTACACAAGTAACTATAATTATGTATATGAAAGTATTTTCAAATAATATTTTTTAGGTAAGTGGGAATCACAAATTTTTTTTTCTTTGTATATAGAAAAACAACTGTTAGATATTTTGGATATCGTGGCTAACTTTTTGTATATATCAGACTTGGAATATTGTGTCAAATTTTATGTGAGTTCTTATTTTAGTACCTAGGCTAATACCAACATGAAATTATTCATATATGATGTAATTGTCCTTCTTAATATTGGAAATGCATAGACTTTTTGTTGAGTATGCGTGGACATCGTCTTATGCATAGTGAATGTTATGTCGTGCATGGTCTACCTAACGTCATTTTGTTATAACTTAAGCTAGTGAAATACTGAAAATGTATGAATTTTTTGTTCAGCACATGTAGACATCATATTATGCATAGTGGATATTGTGTCTTGCATGATTTGTCTAGTCATTTTTGCTAAAGCTAAGGTTAGTGAAATACTTAAAATGCATGGACTTTCAGTTAAGATGCGTGGACATTATCTTGTGCATAGTAGATGTCATATCATTCATGGTCTATTTCATTATTTTGAGAATTCACGCAAATTCTAAATTCAAATCAAACAAAGGGAAAAATTATACTTTTGGTCTCAAAAAATTGACAATAAGAGCCTCAAGGCCTGCAGAGCAATATTAGATTCATTTAGGCCCAAATTGCAATAAAGTCTGTTTTTAAGGCCCTTAATGCCATTCCCCCAAAATAGAATGAATCCTTTATATTATTTGCACAAAAGCCCAATATGCCTAATACAAATAACATACTCTTTTCGGTACTTAATATAAGACCAAATTAACTAATTTTGATTGAAAAAAAAAAATTAACTAGCTTTACACTTACTAAAAAATGATAGCTATATCCTTAAAATTGTTTAAAAGAATGGGTAACTTTTCAATTTTTCCATTTTTGCAACCAATAACCATAATAAATTAGGGTTAACATTTAATTTTTCTCATGTACTTATTTTTTAAGAGTTGGGCACTCTATACTTTTAAGTTGGATAATTTTACCCCTGAACTATTTTTCAAAAGAGCAAAAACCCCCTTAGTCGTTAATTTTTTGTTTTCTACTGATGTGGCATATGCGTGGAGCTCACACATAGTAACGTGTAAGACGTGGCATGTCATTTGATGCTAATTTATCCATGAACTCATTTTTTAGGAGCACTAAGCATACTAAAGTCTTTTTCTCAAAGCACTAGGTACCTTGAAGTCTTGTTAAAATAAAATTTAATAAATATTATTAAAATATTAAGTATTTTAACATTTAATAATTTAAATATTATTATTTAAAATATTAAATTGGGTAGTGTAATATTTATTCAATTTTTAACAATATTTAATATTTTAACAATATTAAATTGGGTGGTGTAATATTTTAACAATATTAAAATACTTAATATTTTAACAATATTTATTTAATTTTATTTTAACAAGATTTTAGGGTGCCTAACGCTTCGAGAAAAAAACTTTAAGAGGCTTAACACTACTAAAAAAAGAATTTAGAGGCAAATTAGTATCAAAAGACATGCTATAGTAGAAAATAAAAAAAAATAATGATTGATTAACGGAAGGGGGTTTTTGCTTCTCTGAAAAATAGGTTAAGGATAAAATTGCCTCACTTAAGAATATAGGATGCCTAGCGCTCCTAAAAAATAAGTATAGGAGTAAAAATTAAATTTTAACCCTAATAAATTATTATGTAAGAATTTAAATATTAATAAATTAAATAAAAAAGGGGTAACATTAGAGAGAAATGGAGAGATTGAGAGAGTAATATCCTTATAAATTTTTGAATAATATATATATATATATATATAAGTTATCATTGATAAAAAAAATCTTATGTTATAATGACTCTAAATTTTAAATTAAATAAACTCAATTAATATTTTATTTAATCTTTAAAATTTTATAACAAGTGAAGAGTGGTAGTTTATTAAAATTTATATTAGTAACTTTCTTAAAGGTTAAGAGTTCAAATTCTACTAGATAAAAGTTTAATTTTTATTTAATTTTAAATTATAAAAAAATTTAATGTCCTTTCTTGCAATATTTCCTGGCGCCGCTACTGGTAATTTTCCCAATTTTCTTCCATTCAGAATTTTATCCTCACTTGAACACCAGATCGCTTTGAGAGATAGAAAGAGAGTCGGTTCTGTCTTCCTTCTCCGATCAGCTTCTCTATTTGTCGGTCTTCTTCTTTCCAATGCCAGCAACTCGCCGCCGGCCTTCTCACCATCAACGCCATCTGCTTCAGCGGTGTGGAAGTCACCGGATTTCCACTTTGGTCTGCTGCCCTGTTTCATTTCTGAATTTTTCAGCTTCATCCTCGGTGTGTAAGGCAGGTGTGTGAGTCAGCTTCAACTTCCTATCCTTCTTAGCTGTTGGGCTTCCTAGTGTGTGTGGGTAGTAAGCTCAAATCCTTTTATTGTTCTGGTCTGTAATTTTTGCTCTTCCTCTTCGTTGAACAGTTGGTTGAAACATCCTTTCTCTTTTCTAGTGGCAGCTCCACTGCACTTTGGTTGTAGGTAAGACACTCGTTCTTCCTTCTTCTCCTTCGGTTTCAATAGCAAAGTGGATTCTCCTTCTTTCCTCACCGAAGACGCATCTCTGTTCCGCTTAGTGCTGTCATGATTATTTTTGAATTTGAATGGAAATTTCGGTTGGTGCTGTGAACATTTTTTTTCTTATGCCAAGCTGAATGTTGATTGATAAAGTTAATATGGGAAGTAGATTAAATTGTTGGAGGCCTGATGAAGACTGAACTTTGATGAATGCTCCTAAGGTGTTCATCAAAATATTTGAGAGAAGAATATAGTGAATGAGTATTATTAAATTTTTATGTTTATCTTGAAGGAGCATGTGTTAGTATAATACCTATTGAAAATCTTAAGATTTTTTGTTGTTGATTTTAGTTTCTTGTCAAATGTGATTCAAAGGCTTGATGGAGATTTATTTTAAAATGTTTTGTATTATTGATGATACTTGAGTAGTGTAGGAGAGTTTGACTTAGGAATTAACTGATGAGAAGAAATTGGTATTAATATAATTTGGGTCTGTAGTGAACATATGTGAGGGCTATCAAGGTTTTTTTTGTTGTTTAAGAGAAGATTAAGGTGTTAATGGATTAGTATAATTAAATTTGGAACTCATTAACAAGTTTATATTCTAGTTTAAAAGTTTATGTTGATGTTGAAAAACTTTAAAAAATTACATTTGAGCTTAAAAGTGGGGTTACCTATTTTATATCAAGATGTATGCTTGTTTCTTAATTTAAATTGGAATGTCCATGGAGTATTTGTTGAAATGTTTGAGAAAGGAATTGGATTTGAATTGAGGATAGTATTAGAGTCACATTGGTTGGTGCTTATTGTGAATTGACATTGATGCACTCAAGGTGTTTATAAAATGCATGATAGAAAATTTGACAAAAATGAAAATTGTTTAATTTACATATTATTAGTTTTAAAGGGATATGTGTAAATGGTGGCTTGAGCTATTAAATTGACATCTTGAGGTACTTAAGAGAGGTAATGTTAAATAATGGTTATGACGTTTCATTAAGCTTTAAAAAGCTATAAAAGGAACTAAAAGGTCTTCTATTATTTTAGTTGGGTTATTGTTAAGTTAATAATGTGATAAGGAAATCATTGGCTGAACATGCATAGTTGTAATGTTATTTGGAATTAATTTAAATGTCACTAATTATTTGAGAAATTAATTGACAAGTGATATTGAATGAGGTAGAGGACTTATTAGAGTAAAAAAGAATTTTGTTAATTGTTGATGGTTAGGACATTAAAAAACTTATTTATTTTAAGAAAAGAATGAATAAGTGATTTTTGAATTGTGATTAATTTATTAGGAAAATTAATGGTACTCTTGAAATTAAGTGAGAAATTGAAGTGAAATAAGCTTTAGAATTATTAAAAAAACTCTCAAGTAAGTGGGTAGCATTTCAAATAATTTATTGCAAAGTGTTTATAAAATTTTTTTATTTAAATTTTTGTATTATTCCTTTAAAGGTAGAATAAATATTCTTGTTATTTTTATTTTTGTGATTTATACAATTCTTCTTACTTACCTCACTTTTATAATAATTGGTTCGTTACAGAACCTACTTTATTTTCATTAAAAAATTATGCTATTATTAAGGAATATTTAGATTTGATACATTATTAATTGATTATTTATTATAAGCATATCTATTGTCTAAATTTCGTAATTTATATGATAGTGGTTAATGTGGTAATTCTTGCATGGAGAAAAATTGGAAAGAAAATTTGATAGCTAGATATTATATTTTGAAAGAAATAATTTTAAAAGAATTTTTTAAAGAAATGGTTTTAAATGAATGTTTCAACTCCATGCACACTCGATTTAATTAAAGGGATTGAGTTCAAAATATTAGATGCTAATGACAATTCTATTAGCCCTTAGCATGGCATAATACACCTAGTTAGTAAGGTGCTGGTAAGAGATGTTAGCCCTGTGTGCAGGCCAACGTACGTGAAATGAAGAAATGGATATTCATGAGTGTTGTACTCGTGCTTTTTTTGGTGAGCTTGATGCTTGCTTTTGTTTTTTGGCTTCTAGCTGTGTTTGATTATTTCATGGTTTTAAGCCACGCTTGTTAGTGACTTACCCTCATGGACTATACATTCACATTTATTGGGTATTTGCTCTTGTGAACTGTGTGTCTACACTTGTTAATTGTATTAATTAAGTCTCGCTAAAGAAAGAAATTTGAAACTATTTTCTTGAAATTTGATTTTAGAAAGCAGACTACTATTTTTACTATATATGGATTCTATATTGAGCCATATATATATATATATATATCAAGATGTGTAAGTATGTGTAGAAATTAAAGAGAGAGAGAGAGAGAGAGAAGAAGGAAAAGAAATTTGAGATTTAAAAAAAATATTTGTATTTATGTATTCATGGTTTATACTATTTTTAATTGATTATTTCACTAAATTATTAATTGACTCATTGATTTACTTTTCATTATTACCTTTAACTATAAATTGGAACACTACTCACCAAAAAATTTTTTTTTGATTTCAGATATTAAAATTGACCTCGCACTTCCTACTAATCGTTAGGGGATACAATTGCTTTTTTTTTTTTGAACCATGGAAGTATGATTTAGTTACTTTTGATGTAAATATATTTTATATTATGAAATGTTAATTTAATGCTTCATGTATATCATAGTTAGGTCTTAGTTTTATTTTGCTGATATGAATTTGCTGGTGTGGAGCTAGTCTTCTTTGTTGGATTAACTGGCAGGCTTCCTATTGTAGATATTTTGGGATGTCCAAGTTACAGAGAAAATTTTACCAAAAATTCTACAAAATATTTAATACTTTATGAACTTTATAAATTATATATCTATAATTTAGTTTAATCTTTGGTTAATTAAGATTTATGGAATATGAGTTTATCTCAGATTCCATGCCGATCATACTTTTAGCATTGGAATGTGACATACATCTTGTTTGGTTCATATGAAATAGGCATCACAAAAAGGAAAAGGAAAAGGAAATTTTTTTTTGACTAGTTAAGAGGAATTTTGATACTTGATAGCCCATTTTCAGGAGAGATAATGAAAAATAGATTCTTGGCAACACCCCAAAGAAAATTTTATTTCCTAGAAAAATATTCTTCATGTGCACTTTGTCCTTGGCCTTTATCAACCTTCTCCCTCTGTAACATTTCAAAAATTATTCCTTTGGTTAATTAAGTCATTGAAGGGTAAATTTATAAATTTAACTATAAATAGATTTTAAAATAGTTGGAAATGGCTATTGGGTTTGGATTTAGCTTTTGGATTAGGTTCGAAAATGAATTGAGTCACCTGAGCTCAAATTAAAGAGAAAAGAAATCAGATTTTTGGCCTAGTGCATTACGCTGCGACATAAATTACAATCAGCTTTTTTTTTTAAATGTGAAAACATCCGAAAACAAGTTAAAATGAGTCTAAAACAAAGGGAGGGTGATGAAGAGAGTTGTTTCTCTGCTAAGACATCAACTCTTAAGCATTTTAGAGGTGATTGGAACTTGATCTCACCTAGGTATATCTTTCTTGTTTCTTTTTCTTTTCTTTACACATTTTGGAAGTGAGATTTGAGGTTGGGAGGTGATGATTTTCGAACCTTGGGCCATGGATCTGAATCCATTGGTCTAATTAGGATTAATATGAGTTATTTAAGTTATCTAAGCCTAGATATAATAGTTTTGTAGATCCATAAGAGTGGGCTCTCAATTATGGACAAAATTATGCCCTAAAGTGCCATAAATAGTATTGGTTGAGGTAAGCAGCTACCATTGATGTTGATTAAAGTTTTTATTAATGCTAGTTGGAGCTAATGGGAGTTAATAAACTTAATGTGGTGATCCAACTCATGACTTAAGAGTTTTGGCTGATGAAAGTGTTGAAATTTAAGAGTTGGAAGTGAGTAAGTTGTAACATTGATGATGATTATAGGTTGTTATATGATATATTAATGATTATTTAAATTGTTGAGAGCTAAATGAAATTAATAGGAGTTAAGAAACTTATTGAATATGAGGTTGATCTTGCAGTTAAGAAATTTGGTTGTTAAAATATGAAATTAGATGTTAGAAGTGGTAATTTTAATTATTATTAGTGACGAGTGTTAATGTAATTGTAGACTAACCTCATGAAGTATCGGTGAGCTTGAATTTAACTCAAAAAGCCAGCTATGATTGAGGGGTAACCTTTAACCTCTCAAAGGTTTGATATAGCCGAGGAAAACCTAATTTATATAGTTGAATATTAATGGATTCTTATTGAAATGGATGATTTGAAACATGTTTACTATTTTAAACTCTTGATGCAAAATTGACATATTTGAGAATGTGATATTGTAGTGACCTTAAATTTTTCATCAAACAAAAATTTATTCCAATGGATATTTTGTTTAAATAAGATTTATAGCAAATAAAAATTGATAATTTAGAGGAACTTATGTTAGAAATTTTCTTGAGAATCCAAAGTTTAAATTTTTTGAGCAAAAGTTTGATTTTCAATTTTAGAAAATGTTGTGCTCTTTTTGGTAATTTTCTTATTCTCTTTCTTGTGATTTTCTTGTACCTTTTCTTGTAATTTGTGCAAATATTTCTTGGATTGGATTTTATCCTTTTGTGAGAAAGAAAAATAGAGCATTTTCTTTTATTATCTTCACTGACTTAGACCTCTTTTCTCTCATCATTGTCGGTATTTTCTCCTTACCTTTGATTTGTTCTTCTTCTCACCGTTGGTCCACACCTTGCATCACTAGTGTGTCTTTGTAGCTAGAAGAGTAGAGTCACTGGAATCTCTTCATTCTTTGCTGTCATCTCTCGCTTCTCTATTTAGGTTGGGCATCTGTTTGTGTATGTGTATGTATTTAACTTCAATCCTTCTTGCTTCCCAGTTGCTAAACTTTTTGTACATGTGTATATTAAGCTAAATTTCTTTCCTTTCCTGGCTGCAATTGCTGGTTTTCTTCTTTCTCATTCGAGCTATAGATTAGAACTCTTCCTTCTTCATCAGTATCGACCACCTGCTAGTTATGAGCTATCATTGCTGCACTTTAGGATGAGGTAAATCATTGATCCTCTCTTTTCTTTCTTCAATGGCAACAACAACACTACAATATTCTCTTCTTCTTTCAGTCGGTTGATGTGGTCCCTGTTCCTTATTTTTTAGTGAGGATTGAGGTGTGGTTTCAGTTGGTATTGGAAATTGCTTGATCATGTTGAGTTGAGTATAATTAATAAAAGTAAAAGTTTGAAAGTTGTAGAAATTTCTTGGTTACTTATCTTATAATTTTGTCAATCATAAATGCATGCCTTAAGGTAATTGTAAAAATGTATGAAAGAAGAAATTGGTGAATTAAGTGTTGTTAAGTTTTCATGTTATAGTTTGAAGGAGCGTATATGAATTTTGGCTCAAGTTATTAATTGAAATTTTAAAATATCAAAGTAAGAGAAAGGAATACATAGGATGCTGGCATGATATGTTATTAAATCTAAAGAAAGCATGAGACTGGTTGATACGAGTTATTATGACATATGTTAAGAATAGGTTACAATGAGATATGAGGATGAATTAAGAGTTGGTAAAGGTTTAACTAACTTAAGAATATTTGAAACATCATTAGTTATAATATTATCTTTAATATTGTTTGGATTGAATTTAAATGCCCGCCAAATGTTTAAAAAATTATTTGATGAATGATTTTAGTATTATGATTTATTTGTCAGGAAAATAAAGGCATCATTAAATTAAAGTGAAAAAGTTAGGAGAAGCATGCTTTAATATTTTTAAAAAATTTTCAAGTGAGTGAGTAGCGTTCTGAATAAATTTTTAGTAAGGTGCTTATAAAATCCTTTAGTTAAATTTTATTATTATTCCTTTATAAATTGTACTAATATCATTGTTAATCCTATTTTTTTAACAATTGTCTTATTAACGAAAATGTCTTGGTTTTACTGATGATTATGTTATTGATAAGTAATGGTTGAAATGCACATATAATAAATAAATAATTTATTCTTTAAAAGTAGTTTAATTACTAAATTTTATGTTGATAAAAATTTTTATGCAATGATTCATGTATGGAGGAAATAATGATAAATTTGGATAAAGGAAAATGATGTTTGAATAGTGTTTTGAAAAAAAAAATAAATTGTTTTCTTTCTCCATACATGCTTGATTTTACTGAAGAGGACTGTGTTTAAAATGGTGGATGCTAACGTCAGTCCCATTAGCCCTTGGTGCGCCATAGTACACTTAGCTGGCAGGGTGCTTATAAGAAGTGCTAGCCTCGTGCGATGGCCAATGCATGTGAAATGGAGGGATGGTTATTTGTGAGCATCACACTCATGCTTGTTTTTCGTGGGCTTCATGCCTGCGCTTGATTCGTGGCTCTTGCCATGCTTGTTTTATGGCTTTCAGCCACGCTTGATTGATTATTTACTCTCGTAGACTGTGTATTCATGCTTGTTATTCATTCTAATGAAGCCCTCCTAAATTTAAATTTAAATTTTCATTTCTCTATTAATTCTCTAAAAGTATTTTATCGAATTGCACTATTATTAAAAATTTTTATATTTATGAGTTATATAGGTTTTAAATATTTATGTTATTCTAATAGCATTGTTTAATTTCATAGTTATATTATTGAGAAAACTCGTTATCTATTGCTAGCTTAAGTATATGTTTCATTATTTTATGAAGTTATTGAATTAAATTTATTAGTTACTATCTTTATAATTTTTTTTAAATTATAATTTTAATTGGAACGTTACTCATCAAAAATTTCTTTGCTCTAAGACATTGTAGCTGACCCTGAACCTCCTACTAGTCATTAAAGGGCACTATTGCTTTTGGTTAGTGGAAGAACCTATTGATATTTAGTTTAATGTAAATGTGTATTATATTATACAACTGTAGTTTAATGCTCCACGTATACCGTAGTTAGATCCTAATCTTATTTTATTATTGTGAAATCTACTGGTGTGAAGTTAAATTCCCTTTTTGGTTTAGTTGATAGGTTTTTGTTATTATAGAAATTTTGGGGAGGTCCTAATTATAGGGAAAACTCTGCTGAAATTTTGACAAAATAGTAAAAACTTTATAAATTTTAAATTTGGATGTAAATTATATTGTTACTTTGAATTAATTTTTTAGTTATTTAAAGCTTATGGAATGTGAGTCTATCTCATATTTCATGTCAGTCACACCTTAAAAACTAAGGTGTGACAGATATTGTTGAAGTTTTGTGTTCACTTACATATGAATAATGATGATAATTGAGATTATGTGAATATCTACTATTTGTTATGTGGCATTTGGTATGTGGAGTAGATTATGTGAGTATGGATATGTGAATCCATGTTATGTGATTGATAATTGAGATGCATAAATATGTGGTATACGTGTATAATATAATCATTAGTAGGAGTTTGCTTAGGGAAAGGAATAGATTGATAAATCTATGTGGTATTGGCAATGATTGTTGGAATCAAAAACTTGCTTTGGCACTGATCATTAAAATTGGGAGGTGGTTCGTATCTCATGGTTGATTTAGAACTGTCCCACTTGTTCAATAAGGGACTCGAACCTAATTAGTCTCTACTAGTTTATGAGGAAGCTAGATCAGGGGTATGACACTTTATGGTTGTTAGTATTATGGAAAACCTAATTACACAAATGAATAAGTTGACCCTAGTCCAATAGCTCCTCACAAGTGGAAGGCTGAGTTAGTTCGTGAAGGGTGTAGCTATTGCATAACCACCAGTTTCATATCGAAGGCAATCAGGAAGGTATAAGATTAGCATATGATCATGCATTTAGTCCTGATCATATGGTTGTTAGTATTATGATCTAGTGCAGCTTAGGGGCACATGGTTGGTATTATTGCGACCTCAGGCATTGCATTATTAATATATATGGTTATGTGTTTAAAGCTCGATCAAATGGTTGTTATCATTGTGGTCGAGGCTATATGTTGTCATACATACTTTATATGTGTGTTTATTGCCAATTACATTTGTTTTCAGTTGATATGCAACTATATAGATTAGGTGAAACTCGGTTACTAAGTGGTTATACTCACCCCTCTATTTAACATTTTATAGGCATTAGTTCCAAGAAGGATAAAGGGAAAGCATCAGAGGCTTGGAAACTCAGTTTCCTATTATAGGCCTCTCGTAATTTTAATTGCATATGTGTAATTAATTGATATTGCCAACTAAGATGTCCATATTTTGTTATTATTTGTACTATTGAATATTGAGTATTGAAAGGTATATTTTAGGCCTAGTGCAGGTGGTATCTTTTTAGGTGAGATAGATGAGTAAGGTCAAAATATTAATGCAAGTATAAATTTGACTATATGCATGGTTATATTGAATTATATTAAGTTTTAAAGTCAAATTGCCTCCCCTTGTTATTTCTTAAATTTAGGGGTTGATGGTTGAAATTATGAAATATGTGATATCTGATTATTGTGATATGTTACATAGGTTATCCTAAGTCTATTGAATATGGTCTAAGGGTTAGTATAGACTTTTGACACTTGGAGTGAGTTTTGGACACCTTAGTTGTGTTTTGAAAGCATAAATAAGTGAGTTTACATTTTGGTGTTCAACTTTTGATTGAAAAATGACTTGAATGTAAAACTAGTGTCATTAGTTAAAGCTCGGAGAAAGCTTTCTGTAAACACTTAGATCACTTCAATCAGACGTTGGATGGAGATTTGGTACGTGTCGAAAGTTCAAACAGGAAGTCTGCTATGACAGCTTTTTGCTGCTGTCATAGCTTCTGTGGTTTATGCTACAATATAAATTTTATGCTACAACGTATTTTGCCAAAATCTTTGTTTTCGCACTTTTGACCCAAATTTGATGTTATCTTACTTTATATGATATTCATACTTCCTTATATATGTTTTGCTTTAATTTTAATTTATGAAATAATTTTATATCATTTTAAGTTTTAAAAATTTGGGATCCCATTTATAAAAATTTTACAAACTTGATGATCCATTTAAATTATTCCCATAATTACCTTTATTTTATGGAGTTAATTGTGGATAAGTAAGGGTGACCTTACACCTTCCTCCACCCACCACTTTCATCATAACTGTCGTGCACCCTTACCGACCCTCACCTTCATCGTTGCTATCTTGCATCCATGCTGTCCATTACCTTCGTCGTCGTCGTTGTGCACCCTATGAAAAAGAATAATGGTCCCTTGAAGAACTTATCGAACTCCTTTGCCACATAATTTGGTTCCACTATCATCGACAATGTCTCGCTGCTCTACTTCTTAGCCATCAACGTCAGTGAAATCCTCATCTGATGTCACGTCGTGCCTCCAAATGTGTGCACAAGCACATGAATTGAATGCCATCGATTTCAACTGGTTTTCTACTTTCCACTAAAAATGGCTACTTTTTCAAATAACTTCATCAGCATTTAGGAGTTCAAAGCTGACATGGTGTGGTATAGTTGTTTCATTTCAAGCTTTATGGCAAGGCTTATCACCAGAAGTTGGAAGTAGACGATACAAGGTAGATATGTAAAAATGCTGCAAGTCGTGATTAGATTTGTTGATTATGCAATTTGATCATGAGTGTTGGTTATTGTAGTTAAATTTGTTGATTATTGCATATTTGAAAAATCTAATTAAAAGAGGAGGATGATAGGTGTGATGAAGAGAGGAAAGAAGGATGGTGTGAAAGAGATGAGGGGATTATTGTCTTTTTAATTTAACATACATATATATAAAAAAAATTAATTTGAAGTTTCTATTCTTTATTTTCAATCACACCAAACATACTTTTAACTTTAATTTCTTTTCTTTTTTTGATTTCAATTCTAATTTTATTTTTAATTCCAATTTCATCAAAATGCTTTCAACGAACCAAACGGAGGCCTTACTAAATTATGTGAATTTGTTTCTCGTAACTCTTGTCACGCTAAAGTTTTTCAAAAGTAATGATAATTTTTTTTTTACCATTTTAATAATATAAATCACTTTTAACTATTTTTCTTAATCTTTATAAAACTTAACTAACTTCTTGCTTATTAAAAATGATAATTAAATCCTTAAAATTACTTTAGAAAAGATGTAAGTTTTGGATTTTTTTTCTTTTACAATTAATAACATAATAAATTGTTTTTAGGAATTCAAAAAATAATGAATAAATTGATAAAAAAATAGTTACCTTGACTTTGCCTTATATTAAGAACTCAACAAATTTTTTCAAAATTTCTTGTACTCTCTCTATTTTAAATTATAAAATACTTTTAAAAGACATTCAGCATTTCAAAATATAAAATACTTTAAAAAAATTAAAATTTTATTAAATATATTTATTTTAATATTACAATTTGCCTGTCTATTTAATTTTCATCTATTTCTCTTTTTAATATATTAAAATAAAAGTTATTTATAAAATTTTATATTTTTATTTTAAAAAAATAAAATTATTAAATTTTTGTAATGAAATTTATTAATATATAAAATTTTATTTAAAAATATTTTATAATTTAAGGTGAAAATATTATGAAGTATCGGAAGGATACAACTTATCAACGTTGCCAAAAGCCAATTTAGAGGATCCCAATACTGTGTGGATTGCGACCAAAAATATCGTTCTTTTTAATAGCCTTAATGTGGCCACGTTGCAACTAAAAAGGACTTTCACTGACAATAATTAATGGTCACCTTATTAATTTGACTTTTATACAAGCTTATTAATGGCCACATGAAATCTCTCGCTGACGTAGACCACCAAATTCCAACGGCGATAATGAGAGCTACTATTAATTAACATAGCAGTTTTCAGTGACGATACTTTGGCCACAATCACTTTGATATATGCTTAATAATTATATTACAATTTTCAAGGAGTGATAATTGATGGTATTTTACTTTTTAATATTCTACAAAATTGGTTAAAAAATGTTAGTTATACTTTTGAAAATGAAAAAATTTATAACTTTTTAATTTTATCCTTCTTTTTAATTAATTATCACAATAAATTATTGTTTAAGAATTTAAATGATAATAAATAAATAAAAAGTGAAATTAAAAAAGAATTAATTACTCTAACTTTATTTTATATTCAAAACAAAAAAAAACTTTTAAACTTCAATTTATATTAAGGAATGCACGGAATATCTTATTTTTCAAAAAGATATGATTCTCCAATGTTGCCTTCAATAAAATTAATGCTCTCTCCATCTCAAATTATAAGACACTTTTAAATAAAATCTTACATACCAATAAATTCCATTAAATAAACTTAATAATCTTATCTTTTAAAAATAAAAATGTAAACTTTTAAAAATACCTATCATTTAATACATTAAAAAGATAAAAGATGGAAATTAATTATAGAGAGAGAAAGAATAATATTAGAATTGATGTATTTAATAAAACTTTAATCTATCTAAAGTATTTTATAGTTTAAGATGAATTTTTTTAAAAAAGTGTCATATAATTTAAAATGGAGTGGGTAATAAAATACTGCATAAAAATTAAAAGTTTGCCAACAATTAATGAGGAGAAGCTTTATCCTATAGTTAAGATAGGATAGGATGGAGTATATATGAATATTAGCATGGTCAACAACTCTTTGATTTCCCACATACATCAGCTCTGATGCATTGTACTCTTGAATCAAACTTTACTGATTAATAATCAATAATCAATGTTATCAAATATTCAATACCAATGACCAGTATCAAACATATAATTCATAATAGTTTGCATGATAAATTAACAAATATTAACCATCAGTAATAAATGTTACGATGGAAATAAATGAATAACAAACATTCATAAATTAAATAGAGTTGGGAGAGCTAGAAACATATCGAATCCAAGTATGGATTAGTTTGCCCTGAAATCAATGCAAAGAATAGACTACACTACCTTAAAAAAAAAAAAAAAAAAGTTACCATGCATATAGCAGCTGCAGTTTTCCAAAGGTGTTTTTTGAAAACGCCTCAAGTAGACCCAGTGTTAGCGCTTTGATGAAGCACTGACATTGGAGGCGTCCTAAGGGAGAATGACAGATTTAAAAAGATTAATTAATTTAAATTAAATCTTAAATATTAAATTTTAAAAATTTATAACTTTATCCCTCAATTTTATAATTTTATTATAATAAATTTATAATTTATATTTTAAATTTTAATAAAAAAATAATTTTTTTATTTTTCAATCATGTTAAAATTTTAAAAACAAGTTACAAATTTATTATAACATAATTAAAAAATTAAAAAATTAAGTTAAAAATTTTTAAAATTTGATATTCGAACCTCTGTCATTCTCCAGCATCTCAAAATGCTGACATGTCGATTAGTGCTTTTAAACGCTGACAATGTCTCTTCTTGTGGTAGTACACGTGGGTTGAAAAATGCTAAGAGAGTAGCCTTATGGAACGAATATGCAGTGCTTTTCAAAAATGTTGTGAATGCCATTGGTGGCGTTTTAAAGCGCCGCCAATCCCAGAATTAAGTGCCAGTAAAGCATACTCTGTTTGTAGTAAATTACTAGGGTCTTTTCTGCAAGGCACCACATATGCACTTCACAGGAAAGGAAAAGAGGGAAAGAAAAGCAAAGAGTTAATAGAGATGATACAAATGTCCGTCATTGGTAATAAAAAGATTCAATATATATATATATGTATAAGTTCTACCTATTACAACTTTCCTTAAGAATTTTGATGACTTTTTTCTTTTTGTCAAAAAGAAGATAGTAAACTTTCCAAATAATCAGTCCCCAAGTCCTGAAACACAACAACATCTAATTCATTCCCCAAATTCACCATCCTTTTATTAGCTTCAGGTTCTTCAATATTTCTCAAGCTTCTTTTCCTGGAATTGTTGCAATTTTCAACATATCGGCCACAAGCAGAATAATCCTCTTCACAAGTTGATGAAGAAGCACAGCTGGTACTAATAATAATAGGATTATTAGGATTAGTACTGTCACTTCCCCTTTTGAGGTCAAATCCTAAAGCATTTGCAACAGTGTCAAGTGGGAAATTCAAATATGCCTTTGGACCTCTAATCCTCAAAGCTGCTTTATCATAAGCCAAAGCTGCTTCTTCAGCTGTCTCAAATGTCCCAAGCCAAAGCCTAGCTCCATTCCTTGATGAGTCTCTGATTTCTGCTGCATATTTTCCCCATGGCCTTCTTCTCACTCCTCTGTAGTGTCTTCTGATCTCACCTTCCTTATTCTTTGCCCTCACATCTTCTTTTTCCTGTTCTACCATTTTATAACTGGATTCAAAGTTTCTGCAAATTCCCAGATTGCTATTGTTATTGTTATTGCATGTATCTTGATGATGATGATGATGAAGGTTTTGTGGAAAATCAGCTAAAATTTCTTCCCATGCCTCAGCTCCCATTGATATCCACCTTCCCAAACTTGGAAGCCTTTGAAGAATCTCCATAGAGTCAACCCTTCCATCTAGATTTGGAAGTCCTTCCCATGATTTTGAGAATTCTGGTGCGTTTTCTGCTGTCATGCCACCATTATTACTGCTCATCATAACTCTAGCCCATATATTCTCAAGAATCTCTTCTGAATCTCCAGCTGCATGATGATGGTGATGATGATGTTGATGGTCACTACTTTTCTGGTTAATCTGGTAATTCAAACTTGGATTCTTCAAAACTGAAGGCGCCTCCATTACCATAGAAAAGCTCAATCGCATATGATGACGAATGTCACTATGAGTTTTCAATGTATTAGAAGGTCAGAATATTCATTGAAGAGAGCAGAAAAGAAATTTTGATATATATTTATATATAGGTATACATGCAGTGTGGATACACGTACAAGGTATAACAGCTCAGCTAATCGTTTTGCTTTATCTTGATAAATGAATGAGATGAAGATCCGAGCTGGAAAATTGTAGAATTATTCACTGACCAGCTAATGTATGAAGAATTTCAGGGTTTTCAACACTAAGGGAAATGTTTAAATAATGAGAGTTTATTATTTTAATGCTAACTTGTTGACTTGGGTGCTTGTTCAATCATTGGGAGGTTCATCTTTTATGGATTCTTTGCATTCAATGCATATTGGATTGGATTACTTATGGTGTCATTATTTTTTAATATTCTTTCAGGTTTGACTTTGTACAAAGAAACAGCGAAGCAATACCATTTGAAAGCTGGCAAGAGCAAGAGTAATGTTTCGAGTTGTGTGTTTTTTGCGATATCACAAACTAGGATTTGAATTTGGTGAGTAGTTTAAGTCTCCATTCACTCAATGAGGATTTCATATGGCACGAAAACTATTGTTTAATTTAATCAAATAAATTGAATGGCTGTAAAAAATTTTGTCATATAATATAATACTTATAGAAATTAATGTATCAAATTAAACTTCAAAATTTTTGGTTGGGACAACACATGTTAGGGAGTGCTTTGATTATAATAATTGATTTAAAATTTTTGGAGAAATGTGTATTTTAATAATTTTTAAATATTGATGAAATCTAAAGTTAGCAGTATCATAGGTTACTAGGTGCTTGGATCAACAAGTTAAAGAATTAACTAACTTAATTAAAAGACTTGAGTTTGAGTTTTAAATATGCAGTAGTAATTAAATTCTTGGTGAAAGATATGCATTTTAAAAAAGTGTCCGAAAACTGCTAATCAGATCTAGGTAAATGATCTAAGATACTGGAAAGAGAGCAAGTAGTATTACGGACCGGATGATTTAATTTAATTTGTCACACCATACATGAACATTTTTTTAGTCAATATTATTATAATGGAATAAGAAAAAGGGAGAATTGCTTTAACATTTTACTTAACATAATTAATTACTCACAAATTTATTAACAACTGAGCTTAGGAAAACGAGAGGTGGGAGGAGTAAAAGAAATAGCAAATCTAAAGGAATGTTTCTTGGAGCAAAAGAGATGGGTTATGATTACGAAGATGATAGAAAATAGAAGCCACACGGTTGGCCAAAAGATAAACCTGAAACACAACGTTGGAACAGGAGGAATGTACAGGTTAATTAAGAATTAAGCAAAATGCTATCATTCAATTAATATTTTAAACTTGCGTGCGTTGTTGGTGAAAAAAATTGATAAACAAATATCAATACATGTACCTGAAATCAGTCATCTTTATCTTAAAACCGTGCCAAACAAATGTTTGATTCTGTCTCTGCCCGTCGTTGTTTATAATTTTTAAATAGTTCTAGAACATAGCTATTAAATATATTTTAAACTTTCTGTCAAAAAAAAATTAAACTAAAACCTTATTACTATAATTGGATTTTTTTTGAGTTTGATTGCCCGTGTATTATCTATGTATCTTCTTTAAATAGATTTCTTACTAGAGTGTTTTTTGTAAAAAAAAAAAACCAAAAGACAAGTTTTTAAATTTTTGTGTATTTGCACAAAATTAGATGAATTATATTATTTTTGAAAAATTAAAACTATTAGTATATTTAGAAACAATCTCATGTTTCTTTATTTTTTTGGGCAAAAGGGCAAAAATGCTCTGAAACTTTTCCTCTAGATGCGCTTGATATTCTAAACTTTTTTTAGAAGCAATGTCGCCCCGGAAGTTTCAAAAAATGGTGTAATGTTACCTTGCCATTAAATCTGATGGATGTTGACTATTAATTCAAAGTTTGATCAAGGAATTTACACATGGCCTTTCAATTCTGATTTTCCTTTATTGAGTCATTGCTCCATGTAGATTAGTGTGTGGCTGCCTGTTTAAATACGTCACCAACCCTCAACATCTCCAGTGAAGAAGGGCATGAGCATCTTGAGGCCTAGGCCAAGGAAAGTTGAGGGAAGCTAAGGTCAAGTCAATGTCCTCTGCAAGCATAGGTTCTCGAAGGAGTCGTGCTACGTTTAGGCAGCACTGAGAGGTTTGGTATGATAGTTCGAGTAGTTACTGTCATTGTGGTTTGATGGCTCTACAATGGACATCTTGGAGTGAGGAAAATCTAAGGAGGTTTTATGGGTGTCTCAACTATCGGCAAGTTTGGTTGATATTGTATATCTTCTTTTTCAAACCCTCTTCTTTTTCTATGTCATCTTCTTCATCTTCTTGTTATTATTATTGAAATCTAGGGAGGATGTGGGTTTTTTGCCTGGCATGATGTTGAGATGGGGGAGAGGGCAAAGAAAGTAATTAATGAGCTACTTTATCATGTGGAATATTTGTCTGGTGAGCAAAATGGACATTCAAGGCATGAAAGTAAGTCACAAAATGATATTGAAGTTGATACCATGTCAGAAGAAGTTAAGAAGATGTAGAGAAGGTTGAAAAGGAGCTTGAATATAGCTGTGTCATGTGTGGTGCTATCATGGTTTATTTTTTTCTTATTTAAAAATGCATGAACGTCATCAGTTGTTGTAGGCAAAGCTTGTGATCCTTTTTTGTTAGCTAAGGTGGAATGTTGGACATGATTTAATGTTGGACAGCAATGCTACAACTTTAGTGTTTGCAAATGATGAAGTTGAGATATTGAATCAGGAAATTTCCTTATTTTAGTTCCAAATAAGTCCAAGTAGTGTAGATGTTTGAGATTTCCTATTAATTAAGGCAATTGCATGATGAAATAATCTGACAAAGATAAAACTCACATGCAAATAAACTTGGATGGCAAATTGTGAATAATCCTACTAGATATCAGGCTCAGCCATTACTAGATCAATTGAGATGGCCTGGGATTGCAATTGCAGCGAATGTCATTAAGTTGGAGCTAATATTATTTCTGATTTATTTGAATGATTTCACTTGAGTATAAAACTTTTAAAAGTGAGTCATAAATGTTCTTACCTATATTATCTCAAATCCTTTCCTTGGTCTTTGAAAAAGTTTTAGCTTGAATCTAATTATCCTATTATCATTTATATTTTGAATCAAGAGTTATAGAAATATTTAGTTTTGACCTTTAATCAGTATTTTCTCTATATCTCTTAATATATAAGTCTAATTACTGTGAACTTCTTTCATTTGAAAATAGGCTTGTACATTTTCCAAAGAACTTAATTTCGTTAAAAAATAGATTTTATATGAAAGAGATACAATTTTTCAAATTTGGCTGTTGAAGCTTCCTATACTTCAAAAAAATACTACTAACCTTTGTTCACCTTTTTGATCATATCTCTTTATATCTTTGAATTTTTGAGTAGGTCTTCTTTCTTTGGAAACTAGGTATTCAGGAATTTCTAACTACAGGTCATTTGCCTAATTTGGCGTTAAAATGAAGGAGTCATGACCGTTAGAAGTTGACCCATATTTTATTTCGAAATTGTGTGATTGTTAGAAGTTGACCCATATTTTATTTGAAATTGTGTCCATTATTTCAGAATAACTCTCACTTATTTTGATATAAGCATAAGTTTTTATGCTTTGTTCTTCGTGTTTGAGTTCTTTCTCTTCAAAATTCATTCTATCAATTCCTTTCACTTTCTATAAGTTGAGTTAACCTTATAAACTTCATAGAATTTCTTTTAATACAACTTTAAGTTGGATTAAACATTTATCGATTCGTACAAATCCTTTTTACCCATATGGTAACTTAGCACTTTTTTACATATGAGTTATTGCTTATACCAATAAAAATAACTTATATCGGTACAACTATGAAGACTTATGCTTTGTTTTTCAATCTTACCCTTAAACTTACTCTATTTATCTCTATTTTTTATATTTAAAACAAAGAAATTTAAGCTCAGAGAGCTTAAATGTAGTAATTCCTTGTTCATAAAAATCTTGCCTTGCAAAGCCAGAGAGTATATCCAAAAGTATGCAGATCTTAAGACACAATTTCCCATTCTTAATGAGAGGGAAATGAGGATAGAAACGGTGTAGAATCGTGCCAGCAAAAAAACCCACATCCTCTCTATACACAATTACAATAAACCCTTTTCAATAGTAATAAGAAGATGAACAAGACGACATAGAAGAAGAAGAGGGTTCAATGAAGAAGATATACAACATCAACCAAACTTGAGCACCCATAAAATCTTCTACTTGGATTTTCCTCACTCTAAGATGTCCATTGCGGAACCATCAAACCATAGTGATAGTACCTACTCAAATTGTCATACCGAACCTCTCAACACTGCTATGGCTTCCTTTGACTTCCCTTTGCCCAAGCCTCAAGATACTCATGACCTTCTTCACTGGAGACGTTGAGGGTTGGTGACGTATTTAATCAGGGAGCCACACACTAATCCTCATGGAGCAATGACTCAATAAAGGAAAATTATAATTAAAAAGCCACGTGTAGATTCCTCAGTCAAACTTTGAATTTAACAATCAACATCTATCAGATTTAACGTTAGGATAATATTGCACCATTTTTTAAAACTTTCAAGACAACATTGCTCCTAAAAAATGTTTAAGACACTAGGCATCCTTAGAGAAAAATTTTCAGGGTATTTTTTCCCTTTTGCCCTTATTTTTTTAATTGAATACAAGTGTTCTCTCATTCAAAGCAATCTCATTCAAGACATAATTGGGTACGTAATATTTTTTTTATTATAAGCAAAATTATAAATTTTAAGAAGTATTAATCTGCCAAATTATCCCTCATAAATGATAGTATCACTAAATTAGGAAAAGAAATATTAATTACAAGGATATTTTAATTCAAACATTTCAATTTCAAACATATTCTTTCCGTTTTTAAATATTATTGAAAATATCAAATTTACACATGGTTTACAAAAATTTGTTAATTAATTATAATAATTATGTGTGAAATTAAAAAAAT